TTTTGTCTTTTTTACTGACCGGTAACGGGATCGCAACCCTCGGTGTTGCGCCCGCACTGCGCTCAGCCAGTGAGCGGGAACCGGTCTCCACATGGGATCCGAACCCTCGGCGGGAGCGCCTCCGTGCTCTCAAGCGGCGCACTCTCCAGTGCGCCACCGGGCCGGCCCTGTAGATCTATCTTTTTAAAGTTACATAGTATGGGTACATAAAATGTGTGTATTATAGTTTATTTTACCATTCCTCTGTGGACAGACATTTATGTTATTTATATTTTTTCTTTTGCTATTACAAAGAATACTAAAATGAATATCCTTGAACATATCTTTTTGTACATGTGTGCAAATATGTAGATACCAAAAAGTGGAATTGCTGGGTCAAAACGAATATATATTTCAAATGATGATAGATATCAACAAATTGCCTTACAAAAAGTTCCTATCAGTTTACACTTCTACTCTCCATGCTTTTTTTTTTTTTTCTGAGCCCATTTTAATATGGACTTAGCATTCTCCCAGCCTCAGTTCTCTGATTGATACGTTAACTTATTTACTTGGGTACTGTCAGCCACTGTACAAGGTTGTATTGAGTACAAATTCCGTGCCAGGCATTCTGCTGAATGTTGGAGATTCAGCACTGGATAAGACAGATATGGTCCCTGCCCTCATGTAGCTTACACTTTTACCATGTAGTACTTTGCCATTCCCAGACTCTTTTTATGCATTTGCAGCTACTGTTCTCTCTTCCTGGTGTGACTTTTTTTCTTTTAACTTTTCTGCCTAGAGAATTTTTTTACCTTTTTAACTAACTTAAATTTTATCCTCTGTCATTATCATTATCATTCTCAGGTAGAGTTAGGTAGATCTTCCTCAGTGCGCTCTCCTAGCGCTCACATGCTTTTTATAGCTTTCCCCTAAAGAGTTTTAATTATTCATTTAAATATGTGTGTGCTTGTATCTGTATGCATGTGTATGTTTATACAGTCACATATACACCTCTCCCATTAGACCGTAAGCTCAGTAAGAACAAGGAACTGTGGTATTTACCTGAATGCTTCCCCAGCTTAATGCCTTAAACACTGGAAGTGCTTAATAAATGTTGAATAAGTGAATGAATAACAAGTGTCAAATGAACTCATTTTGTGCAGGGCACTATGGGGGGTTGTAAACATGAATACGACTGGTCTGTCTTCAAGGACCTAACCATGTAATCAGGGA